TTTTTTTTTTTTTTTCGGGGTTCATTGTTTTATGACATGGCCGTAGCTAGAGAAATGGACCAATTTTTTTCTTTTTTTGCACGCGCGTGTAATGGCGTTCATGGATGCAAATTCGATGGGTTGTACGACTGGGATCGGTCTCGTTTAATGGGGAACCCGTTTTCATCGGTTTTATCGTTCGATGGTAGGAATTTATCGGCCCGTATTATCATGCGGAGGGAAATATTTCGACTTTTGCCATTTGATGAGAACGGTTTTATGGAAATTATTCTCGTTTTACGAGAAAAGATTTCGTCACGGACACGACAAGTAAATAAATATCAATTTCTTTTCTTCTTTCTATTTGATTATTATTATTATTTTTTTTTTTTATCCTCAAATTCTCGTAGTACTGGCCATTATTTAAATTTACGTTTCTTTAACATTTTTGATTGAAATTGAATTCGATTGAATTCATATTCGAAACTTCATATTTTATGATGTATATATAATTTTCTAAAATGAAAGATAAAAAAAAGTCTTACCTCGAGTGTCTGTCGTAACGTGAGATCGGGAAAGAAAACGTCCTGCTGTTGCACGTAACAGATTCTTCTGCGCCATCTTTTTGTCAACCTTTCACGATTCAGCCAGATTTCACCCCCGTCCAAGCCCACGCGGCCTGACAGGCAGTTCAATAACGTCGTTTTGCCGCAACCTGTTCGACCAATAAATAACTCGTCGTAAGTTTTATAATTGAAAACGTTTTTATTCAAATTAAAAATCATATTATCATATCCCTCTTCAAAATTTATATTTCCTCATTTCAAATACAATACACACAAAAGAAACGGATTTACATAAAAATAAAAAAAAATCAAAAATACTCCTAAAGAGTCTCGTCAATTAGGAATCCATCGTTAAAGTAAAGAACGAAAGTGGAAGAAAATCCTTTGGAAAGGATAGGTAGAACCCTGTTGTAGAACTCTCCCGATTCAATGGTGGAAAAGGAGAGATGGGGAAGGGGTAGAAAGTGGCGCCTCCAGAGGTATACCGGAATAGGGTACCATCTCGTTCCTAGAATCATCGTCGTTCGGCCAAAGATATACTGCTTTGGACGGTGGAAATACGCTCGCGTGCCCGTGCCCGAGGGACGTTTTAATGACACACAAAACCGTGAACGAACGAGAAAGGGCGAGAGAGCGCTCGATGATTTGTACTCGCGTGTAACCCTTTGCTTTGCGCGGTTGCTTGTTAAACGAATATCGAGGAGGAGGGGAGGACGACGAATCTCTCGAGATAAATATCGCTCGTTACCGCGGATACTGCCAGGCTTCGTGCTTCGTCGCGGTTAAACATAGAAGAGTAACCGGATTTGGGATCCATCCTGGGGAATCGATTCGATACATTCGAAGATCGTTGTTTACAGAGGGAGGATCTCAATTTTCGAAATTTGATTTCTCTGTATTTTTGATTGGATTTTTGTAATTCTTTTCTTTTTTTTCTTTTTATTTAGTGTATTATAGTAGTTTGGATTATTATTTCTTATTAAGTGGCCGTTTGTCAAGGGTCCTTGTTTGAAGAAGTTTGAATATTTAAGTAAATAATAATGTGTAACGTAGATGGAAAATTTTCAAAGATTCTTCAAAGATCAAGGAATCTCTGGCAAGGAATCTCTCCATTTCAAATCATATCTTCAAAAAAAGAAAAGAAATAAAAATCTATACATATAATCTATATATATAAAAATCTACTATAAATCTACGTATTGATTTCTCTATATTTTTGATTGGATTTTTGTAACTCTTTTCTTTTTTTTCTTTTTTTCTTGCTTGAAAAAGTTTGAATATTTAAGTAAATAATAATATGACAGATAGAAAGTTTTCACTTTTTTTTCTTCAAATATAAAGGAATCCTTGACTAGGGTTCCAAATCTTCAAAAAAAGAAAAGAAATAAAAATCTACTACTATAAATCATCGATTGTTCGATCGATTGTCGTCAATGTTTCACTTCTCCACATATTTTTTTATTTTTCTTTCCATCGTTCGATGAACAAACTCACATAATAATGATAAAACTTATCCAATCTACCGCGACGTGTATAACAACGAATCATTCGAATTTTTCGGGGCCCGGGTTCTCGAGGCTAATTGACCGTTTGTTCCGCGGCGAATTCTCGCGAATGCTGATGACTCGATCGTATTTCCATGCCCCCTCCTCCCCTCCGCCGGACAATTTCGCGGCAGTTTGCGTCATTCGTTTATTTCGCGGCCTCCTCCTCCTCCTCCATCTCCTCCTCG